TTTAGGATATGACAATGTATGGGTCTTTTATTTTTCAATAATTATGTGCAGAATTCAGAGGACCAGTTAGATTTTCAAATACAAAACTCTATTGTAGTACAGTTTGAATCAGATTCCTGAATTTGTCTTTGGTTGCTTTGGGGTTGCTCATGATATCACATTCCTAAATATTAAGCATATGTCCTGAAAACAATATTTTCCACATTCCCTAGATATTACTCACACCAACCTGATGAATAATAACTTATTATTATCCAAGTCTAGTGTATATTCAAATTTCTCCACCGAAAAATCCCTTTTCAGTTGGTTTATCAAAATAGGAATTCCATCTGGGACTTTGCATTGTGTCTGGTTGTTATGAATTCTGCTGTAGACCGTTCATCTCTAGCAACTCAGTGTTGCACATCAGTGACTGATTGAAGAGATAGCCCCATTATCCTATTTCTCTAAGCTGTGTTCACTCACAGCAGCATCAGCACAACCTGGAGTTTGTTGAAATGTAGATTCCAAGTCCTGCTCCAGACACACTGAATGCAAATCTGCATTGACTTGTGTGCCCCACGGTGGCTTATATGCATGTTAAAGTTTAGGAGGCACTGTGGTAATGTATCCCATCTTTATGTACTTTTTTTTTTTTTTTTTGCTCGAGCTAGTTTAGTCCTCGAGATCCTATTTTCCTATAAATGGAAGTTATTGCTAGCAGTTTGATTACACTGAAGTGAAACACTTTTTGGTAAAATACATCACATTATATCCTGTGCCATGACTGATAGATAGAAATATTAATATCTTGATTTGTAAAATGAGAGACTGATCCCTCCATTGTAAACTCACATTTTCCTTCTTGTGAGACTGGGAAGGAATCTGTGTGGTGTGTTTGGCATGATATAAATATGTGGTTCTCCATCAGCCATTCACCCAATGACTTTAATACCATTTGATATCTTTTTATCCTTGCCTGAATTAAGGCTTTAATGGGGCTTTTAAGTGTTCCTCATATAGATCTTAAAATCTCAAGAGTTTTTCCCCTAGACATTTTGCCTTTTCTGGCTGCCATTGGACAGGGTGGGACAAAAGTAGGTGCACAGGTGTTCATATGGAAACAATACAATAATTAATAAATAATAAAACAGGAATAAATTCTGCTTCATGTACTCTCAACTCTAAACCTGCTTTTGCTCCAACCCTATGAATGGGTTCTTCTCTTTCATCACAAAACTTCCAACTGAATGTTGTTTGTATATATGAGTGACTGATTTGTGCTGTTGATTCTAAAAGTTATGAATGTTACTGTTTTCAGCTGATTGTCTTCAACATTATTTTCATCTTTTTTAATAGTTGTCAGACTTTAAAATTAATCATATACCTGCTTCATCAAGTGAGTTTGGAAGTTTTTCTTCCCTTTCTGTACTCTGAATAGAAAAAGAGATTCTCTATCTTCTTTAAAATTATTTTTTATTGATTTTGCTATTACAGTTGTCTTAAGTTTTTCCCTTTAGCCTCTCACCCCATCTAGGACCCCCCAGAGCCTGAGGCCATCCCCACACCATTGTTCATGTCCATAGGTCATGCATATAAATTCTTTGGCTATTCCATTTCCTATACTGTACTTTATATCCCCCTGGCTATTCTGTAACTACTTATTGGTACTTAAAAAAAGATATTATTGATTTTTAGAGAGGGGCTGGGAAGAGGAAAGAGAGGGAGATAAACATTAATTTGTTGTTGTCTCTTGAGCACTCCCTACTGGGGACATGTTCTGCAACCCAGGTAAGTGTCCTGACTGGAAATTGAACCCATGACCCTTTAGTTCATAGCCCAGTGCTCAATTCACTGAGCCACACTAGCCAGAGCTGCGTATTTGTACCTCTTAATCCCCTCACCTCTTCACCCATTCCAAAACACCTTTTAAAGGTTTTATGGAAGGTCCTATGAACTCAGTGATGCTGGCCCTTCTTCAGGGAGGACTTTTTGACAGGGATGTTAGACTTTGCTCTGGAGGTCAGTTATTTTCCACCTGCCCTGAGGGAGGATGCTACACTCCCATTCTTTGCCATGTCAGTGCTTCCTGTGGTGCCAGAGTTCTGTGTCCCTCTGCTGTCTGTCTGGGCATGTAACTTATTTTACCTATGCAGCTGAGTAGATAGACATGATATATGCCAGTTTCAAGCAAATCCTTTAAGAAGCATAATTAGCTCTCTATCTCCTTTCTCCCTTTCTATAAGAATGGCATATCTCAAGAAGGGCCACTTTAATCACAGCAGAAGGCAGCTTGAAATTGCTTTGTAATATAAGTAAAAAAATAAATCTTTTTTGTAATCTATTGAGACTGAGGACAGTTTCTACCGCACTATAAGCAAAAGGAAAATGATTAATGTGATATTTTTTGTGGAATGTGGTTGGTTTAGACTTTCTTTTTCACCATCCAAATGCCTTCTATATCAATGATTCTGTCTCTGTTTTTCTTGTTTGCATAGGTTGTTTTTATTTTTTTTAAATTTTTAGTTAATTTTCAAGTACGGTTTTCTGCCTATTTCTCCTATCTCAACCCAACCCGCCCCGTGCTCCCCACCTTCCTCCCATTTCCACCCCCCTTAGTTCTTGTCCCTGTGTCCTTCATACTTGTTCCTCCAAATCCCTCCCCTTTTTTCCCCTTAAATTCCCTTCCCTCTCCCCTCTGGTCACTGTCTCCTTGTTCTCTATTTCAGTATTTTTGTTTTTATTCTGCTTGCTTGTTTGTTTTGTTGTTTAGCTTCCTGTTAAAGGTGAGATCATATGGTATTTGTCTTTCAACACCTGGCCTATTTCACTCAGCATAATGCTTTCCAGTTCCATCCATGTTGTTGCAAAGGGTAGTAGCTCCTTCTTTCTCTCTGCTGGATAGAATTCCATTGTGTATATGTACCATAATTTTTAATCCATTTATTTACTGATGGGCACCTACGTTGCTTCCAACTCTTGGCTATTGTAAATTGTGTTCCTATGAACACTGGGGTGCATAGGTTCTTTTGGATTGGTGTTTCAGGGTTCTTAGGGTATAATCCTAGCCATGAAATTGCAGGTCAAAAGGCAATTCCATTTTTATTTTTCTCAGGAATTTCCATACTCTTTTCCACAGTGGCTCCATCTTTATCTTTAACTGAGGTAGGTGTCCTGTAAGGTCCAGTAGCACAGCATCCCCTGTGACCCAAGCTGAGTACTTGAGGTGTGCCCTTCATGTGAGCTGAGTACACCCTCCTCTTGTAGTTGAACCTTGGTTTCTGTTGGCAGGTCAATGGGAAGGGTTTTCCCAGGCTAGTCACTGCAAGGATTGGCTGTGACCACTGACCACCAACCTCTGCCTCTCTAGAGGATCAGCTGTGCAGGGGCATGGGGGTAGTGCTCTGATGTGGTTTATAGCTGTCCACAGGGTTTGCTGACCTTAGGGTTTCCTTGGTGGTGCAGGCCAGGGTCAGCCCCTACCTGTGTTTTGCCCAGGGCCAGCTTACCTGAGCTATAAAACAATCCCAGATGGCTGCTACTTATACTCGGCTTGGAGATTCCCAGGTGAAGTGAAGCTGTGAATCTAGGCTGGCTGCTGCTAGTGCTGGATCTGGGGCTCCTGAGACCAGCTGTTGCTTGTTTTTTTTTTTTTAGATTTTTTTTATTTATCTTTAGAGGGGAAGGAGGAAAGGAGAGAGGGAGAGGAACATCAATGTATGGTTGCCTTTTGCGCATCCCCTGCTGGGAACTGGCCTGCAGGGAACTGGCCTGCAACCCAAGCATGTGCCCTGACTGGGAATCGAACCGCCAGCTGTTGCTTGTTTGATAGCATTTAGGAAGTTGTGAAGCATGAGCCAAGACCAGCCACTCATATGGAAATATAGCTTTGGTAAACCAATGAATTGGGTTTGGTGGAGTTTCTGGGGATCTCCAAGGTGGGTAAACAGTGTTAGCCAGGTTGATGGAGACTCAGATATGGCACCAGCTTTCCAGCTGTGTGGAAGGATGGTTTAGGAAAGGGACAATTGCCTCTACTTGTCTTGATGCCAGATACTGTTGTTTCTTTCAGTATACCACTGGTACCCTTCAAGTTGCTACCCTTGTGCTGGAGCTCTAGGGAGTGAGTCTGAGTAGGTGAATTCTTGTGTGGGTTCTTTAAGAGGAACTGCTTAGTGGTCCAGAAGTTTATTCCATGAACTGAATCTTTGCTTGTTTTTCAGCTAGAAGTTGTGGGGAATTATTTTCTTGGCACTGGAACCCTGAGCTGGGGGGCTTCATGTGGGGCTGGGACTCCTTGCTCTCAAGATGTCCCTCCAGAATTTTCATCCACCACACATGGATGATGGACCAGCCTGTTCTGTGTCTGTGTGCCTCCCTACTACTCTGAATGGATGTGATTTCTTTGATTCTGTAGTTGTCAGATTTCTATTCTATTTGATTGCTGACAGTTCTCGGTGATGGTTGTTCTATATTTCAGTTGTAATTTTGATGTGGTTTTGTGAACAGGTAAGCCATACCTGCCTATGCTGCCATCTTAACTGGATGTCCTATAGGATTTTAACATAGACAGCTATGTTTATCTCATTAGATTGAAAATTCTCTGGGATTAAGGCATATCATTGTTTTATTTACCTAGCATTCCACCAGGTCCAGATTTGGTATTTAATATCCATTGACTGAATGAATAAATCCAACTTCTTGATTCTCCTGAGAACACAGATGAAGAAAAAGAAACTACAACTAAAGGAAGGTATAAAAGGAAATAATTATAAATAAAGAAATGAAGAAATCTAGTTTAATTTTCATAAATTCTGTCTCTCATGCTATTTGGTATATTGTATTTAGTACTTTTCAGTAAAAATATACAGTGCAAATAATATGTGATCAATATAAATACATTAAAGTAATTTTTTCTCTGGAGTTCAGAGAATGACACATTCATTAATAGCATAGAATTAAATATGTTTAGAAAGTTATAATGGGTCTCACTCCATCTCTCTTTGTCTGTCTTCAAGCATATGGCAGGAGGGAACCAGACGGCCATCTCTGAGTTCCTCCTCTGGGGACTCTCAGAGCAGCCAGAGAAGCAGCACATCCTCTTCCCTCTGTTCCTGTGGATGTATGTGCTCACTGTGGCTGGGAACCTACTTGTTGTCTTAGCCATTGGCACTGACACACGTCTCCACATGCCCATGTACTTCTTCCTTGCAATCCTTTCCTGTGCAGACATCCTTTTCACTTCCACCACTGTGCCCAAGGCCCTGGTGAACATTCAGTCTCACAGCAGATCCATTTCCTATGCAGGATGCCTGGCTCAGCTCTACTTCTTCTTGACATTTGGGGATATGGACATCTTTCTTCTGGCTACAATGGCATATGACCGCTACATAGCCATCTGCCACCCTCTCCACTACATGATGATCATGAACCGCCAGCGCTGCATTCTCCTGGTTACTGTCTGCTGGACCCTTACGAGTCTTGTTGCCATGACCCACACATTCCTCATATTCCGGCTCTCCTTCTGCTCTAAGAAGATCGTTCCTGACTTCTTCTGTGATCTGGGACCCCTGATGAAGGTGTCCTGCTCAGACACTCAAGTCAATCAGCTCGTGCTCCTTTTCTTGGGGGGAGCAGTCATTTTAATTCCCTTTATGCTCATCCTGGTCTCTTACATCCACATCTTCTTAGCTATCCTGAGGGTCCCTTCTGCCCAGGGAAGGTACAAGGCCTTCTCTACATGTGGGTCCCACCTTGTTGTTGTTGCTCTGTTTTTTGGGACGGTAATCAGGGCTTATCTGTGCCCCTCATCATCATCCTCCAACTCAGTACAAGAGGACACAGCTGCTGCTGTCATGTACACAGTAGTGACTCCCCTCCTGAACCCCTTCATTTATAGCCTGAGGAACAAAGACATGAAAGAAGCCTTGGGAAGACTTCTCAGGGGCAAAGTCTCCTTCTTGTGGGGCTAGTAATGTCTACAGAGAGACTACAGGTGTTCTCTGTTCTGTCCAGTAAAAAACTTCACAGAAGTTTATACCTAATGTGTCTTGTTTTTCAATCCCAGAGTTGCCTAATCACCACTCCCTTCCCAGCTTCCCCACTGGAATTTGATAATGTTGAGGAAAATAAAGATTTTGCATTGTGCTTTAAAGTTAATCTGTTAAGAGTTGCTTATTTACTCATTTATTTCACTTATAATATAACTTCAAAAGAATGAATGTCTTTTGCAGTGTTTTTAATTTAAAAAGTCTGTGCAGCCTTTTATGTTAGTTCCTCAAAACTTGATTCTGGAAGGTAGATTAATTATAAAAACATTACAAGCGATGTCAATATTGGGAGTTGAAGAGTTTATAACATTAAGTGAACAACTGTATTTTTTTCTACAAAAATAGAAAATTACACAAATACTTATTGCCTCAAAGTTGTGAGTTAAAAGATTTTCTAATCATTGAAATAAAGCACAGTTATAATTTTGTTCTTTCTTTGTGCATGTGATGAGAACATTTACGATCTACCCTCTTAGAAAATTTCAAGTGTATAGACATTATTGTTCTCTGTAGTCACACTACAGTACATTCAGTGTTCAGAAATTATTTTTTATTGTTGTTCAAGTACACTTGTCTCCATTTCCACCCCCTACTCTTCCCCACTCTAGCAATTCCCACATTCCATCCTCAATCCTACCCCTCTTTGGCTTTGTGCATGTGTCCTTTATACACGTTCCTTGACAACCAGGTCCCTCTTTCCCCCATTATGCCTTCCTACCTCCCATCTGGTTACTGTCAGTTTGTTTTTTATTCATCTTGCAGGACTAAATTTTGTACCCTTTGACCAATATATGCCCTATCTCTTAAATTGCTAAAAAGGCTCACAGATAATGCTAATATTGGTAGTCTAAAGCCCACACTTCAAGTAGGAAAGCTATGAAGTAAGTAAAGGACCTGTAATGGGAAAACAATAAGACATTAAAGAAAGAATTTGAAGACTTTTGCCAAGATGGAGGCATAGGTGGAAGCACTGCACCTTCTCACACAACCAAGTTTAAAAACAACAAAGTTTTAGCAACAAAAACACAGCCAAACCACAGAAAATTGAGCTACACAGAAGTCTGACAACAAGGACCCTTCAGCAAAACTGGTAAGAGCAGCAGAGTCAGCAAATGAGCAAGGTCTGGCAGGAAAGATCCACAGGACTGACCTGGGTGCGCAACCCAGGTGCACAACCCAGGCGCACCAGCACCTGTAGGCAGATCCCACGTGTGGAGTAGTGAGTGGACCCACTGAGGGCGCAAGGTGGTGGACTCACTGAGGGCTGACCAAAGTCACACAGTCGAGTGCAGATAAACTTGTGAAGGAGCAAAGTGATGAGAGAGACCATGCAGGCCCCAGTGGCAGAAAGTGGCAGAGGGGACTAGCATTGTCTCTCTCTGACCCGGCCCCCACATACAGCATCACAAACCAGCAACCTGGGTAGCCCCACCCTGGTGAACACCTTCTCGTACTTAACAGACATGAACAGATCAAAACATGGCTCAAGAACAATTCAGAGCCCCAGAGCTGATAAATCTAAGCAATGAAGAAATAGCCAAACTTTCAGATGCACAGTTCAAAACACTGGTGATCAGCTAATGTAATGATGATGTGCCTTGGTGTGTTTCTTCTTGGGTCCAACTTCTTTGGGACTCTCTGAGCTTCCTGGATTTCCTGGAAGTCTATTTCCTTTGCCAGATTGGGGAAATTCTCCTTTATGAATTGTTCAAATAAGTTTTCCACTGGTGACTGTTCCTTTCCCCCTTCTGGTACCCCTATAATTCGGATGTTGGAGTGTTTAAAGATGTCCTGGAGGTTCCTAAGACTCTCCTCATTTTTTTGAATTCTTGCTTCTTCACTCTTTTCTGTTTGGCCATTATTTGCTTTCTTCTGGTCCACTCCATTGATTTGAGTCCCAGTTTCCTTTTCATCGCTATTGGTGTCCTGTGCAATTCCATTCATTTCAATTAGTTTCGCCTTCATATGTTTGTCTAATTTGTGGCTATAATCAACCAGTTCTGTGAGGATCCTGATGACTAGTGTTTTAAACTGTGCGTCTGAGAGTTTTGCTATTTCTTCATTGCTTAGATTTATAGGCTCTGGGGCTTTGAGATCTTCTTGAGCCATTTTTGGTCTGTTCTTGCCCATTAAGTATGAGTAGTGGAGCCTTGGACTCTCAGGTCATTGGGTTGTGACGCTATATGTGAGGGCATGGTCAGAAAGATTAAAATGAAGAAGAGAATCCTAGAAGCAGCAAGAGCTAAGGAGACAGTCACCTACAAAGGAGTCCCCATCAGACTGTCAGCGGATTTCTCAAAAGAGACCTTACAGGCAAGAAGGAGCTGGAAAGAGGTATTCCAAGTCATGAAATCCAAAGACCTACATCCAAGATTACTCTAACCAGCAAAACTTTCATTTAGAATGGAAGGACAGATAAAGTGTTCCTCAGATAAGATCAAATTCAAGGAGTTCATCATCACCAAGCCCTTATTATATGAAATGTTAAAGGGACTTATCTAAGAAAAAGAAGTTAAAGAACCATGAACAGTGAAAGGACAGCAAACTCACAGTTATTAACAACCACACCTAAAATAAAAGCAAACTAAAAGGACAACTAGATCAGGAGTGGAAACATAGAAATGAAGATCTCAAGGAGGGTTAGCAACAGGGGGAGTGGGAGGAGGAGAAGGGGGGAGAAGGTACAGAAAATAAGTAGCATAGACAGTAGATAGAAAATAGATGGGGGGGCAAGAATAGCATGGGAAATATAGAATCTAAAGGACTTGAGACACATGGTCATAAACTAAAGGGAGGGTAATGGTGGGGACAGGGGGGTAGGGTGGAGGGGAATGAAGGGGGGAATAGAACAACTGTAACAGCATAATCAACAAAAAAATTTAAAAAAAAAAAAGAAGGATTAAAACAGGAAAAAAGAAAGGGGAGGGACAAAGTATTGAAACATAAAGCAATAATAAAATTAAAAATATTTAAGATTACTAAAAAAACCACCACCAACAACAACAAAACCTTTCCTTGTTGGTTTCAAACTGTCCAAACTGGTTTTTATGGTCACAGCAGGACCTCTCTGTCGGCTGGGATGTGGTGGGCCAGCCAGGCTATGGGACTGAAGTGCGGGCGCCTGCGCACTCACCGGGCTGCTTGGGTCCCGAGGGATCTGGCAGGGTCAGTCCTGGGGCGGGACTCAAATGCTTCTGCCCCTCCTCTAGATCACTGCCAGGCTGGGTGGGAAGCAAGCCAATCTGCTGTACCAGGAGAACACCTCAATCCACTATCCAAAAAAAAAACTTCTCCAGAAAGCCTGTCTCTCAGCCCAGCCCAATCCCCAGCCAGATTGGTGACAACAATGCGCCTCTCAGTTCTCCCGGGATGGCGACCACAGAGTCCACAGTTGAACATGGCCCTTGTCTTTGTAACCCTCTCTGTAAACTCGAGCAGACAGGTCTCTGCCTGCTGTTGCCCAACTGTGCTTAGATGGGAAGGAAGGGAGCTGATGATCAGTGCTGGTCGCCTACCAAGGCCTCTGGGTGCCCGGGCTCCTGTGGCAGACGCCCCTGGCGCTGGTCTCAAACTAATGCCTCTTGACCCTGACTGTGGCAGCAGCACCAGGGCCACCTGGTCACGGGCAATTGCCCCCACCGGCACCCTTGTCTCTACCTAGGTCCCCGAGACCTACTGACCTGCCGCTGTCTGGTCCTTCAGCATCCGTCACAGTCTCTGGTCTCTTAATTCCATAAATGCTGGGGAACCGTTGGTTGCATTCTTTCTGAGTGGATCTGCTAGGATTTTCACCCATGTGTACAGGAGGTAGAATCCGCTCCATCCTACTATATCGCAATCTTCCCAAGAACCCCTCATTTCTTATAACACTAAATGTGCAACCCAGCAGTTGCTCTTGTGGGCACTTATTCCAGAGAAATAAAACTTATGTTCACTCAGAAACCTGTACACAAATGCCTATGGAAGCTTTATGTTAAAACTAACAAGCTATATCTTAAATCCCTTGCTGGGATTAATATATAGAATTTGTAAGAAACATGTGAAATGAAGACAGGAAGAAAACTCAGAATGAAAATGTGTAAAGTAGGAGGGGGCTTTCAAGATAGCAATGGATTCGGACAGAGCAGATACCACTTCCTAGTACAAAAGGGAGAGAAACCTGTCCGATCAGAGGAAGAGAAGCCAGCAAGCCAGCAGTTGCCAAACATATATGAAAATAAGGGACCAGAAACCTTGACAGTCTCAGAGGAACCAGAATGTAGGGAGACAGCAGCAGTACAGTAGTCTCGGGGACGGAGCAAAGAGAAACAGCACGGACCTGCACCAGTGCATGGTTGGGGGACCAGCACCCGGTTGCAAGTGCCTAAAGGTGCCTGGGACAGCATTAAGCGCCTGGACCTCTCCCTCCCTGGGATTTTTTGACCAGGCTGGGTGAGTGGCCCAGGAAAAGAGGTGTGGAAGGGATTTCAGCCTGCGCACAGTTCAGGAGACTAAGCGCCCAACTCGCAGTGTATCTGGGCGAGTGCTTGATGGTGCCTGGGCCAACGTTCAGCGCCCAGAAAGCTCCCTCCCTAGGATTTTTTGGCCGGGACCTGCCAAGTGGCCCAACCAGAGGGGAGAAGAGGGGAGCAGAGGGGATTTCAGCCTGCGCACAGTTCAAAGTTCCAGCGCCGGGCAAGGAGCTGCTCCATCCCTAGGATTTTAAGGCTGAGGTTTGCCGGGGGACCCAGACAAACACAGGAGCAGGAGGGATTTCAGCCAGCACACAGTTCGGGGGTTCAGTACACATCACGCAGCGTGCCATGATGTGCGCACAAGTTTCTAGGTTGGTGCCCAGTCCCCAGACGGCTCCCAGCTTCCAGTCCATCCCCCTTGGACTATCTGGAAGCCCTGGGCACTGAGGAATCCTGGGGAAAGAGCTG